GAATTATAAGTGAAATAATTTGTCTGTAAACAATTGTTGGAAAAATTACTTGTGTCATGCACAAAGTAGATGTCCTAACCGACTTGCCAAAGCTATAGTTTGTTAACAAGAAATTTGTGGAGTGGTTGAAAAACGAGTTTTAATGATTCCAACCTAAGTGCATGTAAACTTCCGACTTCAACTGTATATCCTGAGATCATGTGACAGATCATGTGACACTTAGATTGCACACAGGACTTTCTTTAACTAATTATGTGACTTCTGAAGGTAATTGGTTGCACCAGATCTTATATAGGGGCTTCATAGCAAAGGGGATGAATACATATGCACGCACCACTTTTCCGTTATTTATTTTTTAGAATGTTTTTGAAACAGGTAATTATTTTCATTTCACTTCACCAATTTTGACTATTTTGTGTATGTCCATTACATGAAATCCAAATAAAAATCAATTTAAATTACAGGCTGTAATGCAACAAAATAGGAAAAACGCCAAAGGTGATGAATACTTTTGCAAGGCACTGTAGTTACAAACAGATTCGCCACGCGCTTTGTGACTCACGGCTTCTGCAGTTTCCTGCACTTTGCTATCAAAAGGGGGCCACTAAATTACAGTTGGAGTTGCATCTGCAGCTGGTTTGCTGTCCAGACACAGGCACAGGCAGCCCCCCCTGACTGCAAACAGAACCAGAGGAAAACAAGGGCTTGTTTACCATTTCCTACCTTCATCTTTGGCTGCAAAACGTGCAACACTGATTCAGGAGCAGCCACATCTGAACTTAACCAGAGAATGTCAGGTTAAACAGTGGGGTTCCATAACTGAGGTACAGCGAGAACTTGACGCTCGTGCTTCCAGAATCAGAATACATGCTATTTCATTAACTCATTTGAACTTACTTAGTTCCCTTTAGCCTTAATTAACCCTAACCAGTCCAGTGATGACATCTGGCTTATTTGGGTTTCTTCTGAACCTCCCTGTTTCCAAATTATCCAGGACTCTGGACAAAATATGGACTGTGTTGCCGTGACAACCAGGGAGAGATGAGGTGTGTGAGTCTTTGAGTGGCGGGGATGAGGTTGGGTGGCTCGTCGGGTTCAGTTCAGAGAAGTAGAAAGTTCCACTGGATGAATATGACACAGAGTAGTCTCCCTGGCCTCAGTTTACCCCGTATTTACATTATTAAAATGAGACGGGCAGACAGGGAGGTGACAGGCGGCACAAGAGGGAAATCAGGGCCTTGTCAGAACTGTCACTAGCTCCACTGGCCAAAGGGCCCTGACCCCAATCCTGTCCACTGCAGGGGAGGAGAGAGAGAGGAGGGGGAATGGGGCTGGCATCTAGACCCTGTCTGCTCATCCCAGTCACCACACACACACACATACACACACACATACATACACATATAAACCAGCTCATGTTGCAGCCGCTGCAACTGTCACTGGCAAAGATGTGGCGAAAGCCTGCAGTTTTAAACATGTCTAAATATTCTGTCTGGGGATGCCTGGCTACAGATGGCTGCAGGCTGCAGGCTTCCGGGGTGGGGTGGGGTGGGGGGGAGACGACGACTTTCATCGCCTGTTCTCTGTGCTACTTAGCAGACGCCAATTCTTCATGAGTCATAGTCCTTTCTGAATAAATACTTAGTTATCTGATATCCGAATGCACCGTCCCATATGAAAGTGATGGTACAGTATACTCCCTCTTCCTCCTCTTCTTTCTGCTCTACACTAATATCAACTATAGTTGATCTGGCTTTTTATCCGATGCACGTCCATATGAAAGTGGAGACTCC